GGTTTGGGATAGCTTAACATGTTTAGTTTCTTAATAGGAAATGTCAATATTTTGGGGATTTGTTCCAAACTGGAACAAGATCCCTCCCGGAGGTGTGTGTGCAGCCGCCACCAGCAATGAGTCTGGTAGCCATTATGCAGACTGTGGTACAGTGGTTTGCAGCCTCCCAGCTGGCTGCTATAGCCAGCCTGGCTCTGGACAGGCCCCTGCCACCTGGGCTGCTCACATCGGGTGGCAGGGAGGCTGCAAACAACTGCACCGAGGTCTGCAGAGCCTTGGACTGGCACACTGCTGGCCTTAGCTGCATGATCGGCTCTGGATGGTGGGGGAGGGGGCAGGGTTGTGCAGCCCCGGCCCCTTCCCCACCGTGCTCCCCGAGGTATGCATGCAGCCACAGAGCTGGTACTGGAGCTCTGGACCCCAGTGCAGCTGTGTGCAGCCTCCCGACTGCCTGCCACAGCTGGCCTGGGCTCTGGGCAGCTCCTGCCTGTCACGGAGCCCAGGTTGCTTGCAGCAGGGCTTGTAGCCTGTCAGGCACCAGCTGCAAGCAGCCCGGGCTCCGTGGCTGGCGGCAGCTGCCCAAAGCCCAGGCCAGCTGTGGCACATGAGCAAAATGGTCTCATAAGCCATGCTTTATTGTGCATGCCGGGAGTTGCCGACTCCTGGCTTAAAATCAACTAACAAAGTAGAATGAATAAACAAATTAAAAGCATCCACATACAGCATGGTTGAATATCTGTCTATGACAGAAAATAAGAAACTGCAATAGCCAACCTTAGAAAGCAGCTCTTCATTTCCCTGTGACACGATGACACAAGAGGAAGAAGATAACATCTTACTGTAGAGAAATGCTTTTTACAGAGATTTAAGAAAACTATTACTGTATTTACTTGAATATAAGATAGTCTTCTATTCAGGGTCATCTCCTAATAATTAGATTCTACCTATGGAAAATGTATGCATTTGTTACAGTTTTCCAGCTATAGAATCTAATAATTGGAGGCATGCCTTGAATTTGTCCCCCTCCCTCTGTTATAACAGGGAAAATAAACTGGGGGGGTCCAGTATTCCCTTTGCCCTCTGCTCACCCCCCAGCTTCTTCCCTCTGCAGCCCCTTCCACTCCTTATTTCCAGAGCCTGAACAGTAAGGAGTAAATTTGAAAACGCTGACCTCGAAATAAACATATCTGTAATCATTTGCATATAGTACCTACAGACTTTAATTCAGCCAGAAATTATGCAGTTTACCTTTTTTTGGAAACTGATGCAAGTTCTAGCACAAGAACTCCAGAAACATGTTGCTACGCAGCACTTCTAATATAGTTTCAACTTTTTTTTTTAATTTAAATTTTCCATAACAAATTCCAAATCCAAGAGTCAGTCCAGAATCATAAGTGGCCCTACTACTGGCAAACATCCTCCATCCCCATCTGGGGCTTCTGATGTTTCCAAAATATCTGGCAGGCATCCTACTTGCAGGCCCAAACCCAGAGCTTGGGGTTCAGATGCCCCCGAGATTTGCTTGTCCTTAGCCATAAAGCTCCAGGAGCAAGCTAGGGAGGAGTCTCCCATTTCCATAACCTTGGCTTTATGCCCATTTTATCTATCCATTATCTATGTGGGTACTATCCCATGCCAGCAAAGCGGTCTTCCCCGGGTGTGCTTAGGAAGTTGCCGTGGTGATCATGGTATTTCCCCTGCTAGGCAGACATAAGACTATGCTTGATCTGAGCCCACAAGAGGCTGTACAAACTATGTATGATATTAGCTGACAAACAAAAGGTTCATAATATCGCACAGTTCACTGGGATGGGCCCTAGCAGAGTCTACAGCATTTCAAGCCATGGCAACCCCATAGCTCAGCACTGCTTAGCATGTGCATTTACTTCAGATACCCTCCACAATGGATCCATGTGCTAATTAGACCCCTATTTGTGATTGAAACTGGGTGTTCTTGTCATGAGTCCTGGGATTCTCTAAAAGTTTGTGTAGATAAGGTGCAAGGCAACCTGGTCCAGCTCATGAAGAGTGGGGCCATATTAATCATGCGCCAGGCTGGGGGCGGGGTGTGACGGGGATTTCGGGTGAACTGTTTGGGGCCCCATTTGGTGATACAGGAAACCCTTGGTATTTGTGGGTTCAGCAATTGCAGTTTCAAATATTGGCGAATGGTGAGCCCGCATTTTAAATACATTTTATGCGCTTACAGGAACTCCTCGGGAGCGCCACACTTGCTGCCACTGTGCTCCCGTTGTTGCTGCCGGAGCTGTGCCCCACTCCCCCCAGCCACCAGGGGCACTGCATTCATGAATGCAATGCCTTATTTGCAGATTTCACCATTCGCGGGGGATGCGAGAACGTATCCCCCGCCAATGGCGAGGGTTGCCTGTATTTGCCAGACATTTAAGGCTGGTGAAGAAACGGGAAACATCTGAAATGGGAAAGAAAAGGCATAGCTCGGCTATGGGCATGAAAAGGAAGTCAAAATGTATGCTATGTGACGTGAAAAAGTGTTGGTGCTGAAGAGGACTGCACCCAATGCCCATGACCAAATATCTTATTCAGATGGGTTCTCCTTACCTTGTCCTTGTGGTAGGTTCCCAATAGCATGTTTGCCCAGTGTGGGTCATGTGTTTTATAATTATGCTCTGTGCTGGCTGCATTTAATCAACATTATAATTGTTTTTGATTGCTAAGCATATGCTGCTTTTGGCAGCAGTTTAATGATAGAGAATGTATTTAATGAGGTTTTCTTGTCTGCAAATATAAGACGAGGGGCTTTTCTCCCCATGCTGATTGGTAGGGGTGCACTGATAGAGATTTCTTGGGCCAGTATCAGTGACTGATTTTTTTTAAGGAGCCAGACCAGCTGATACCGATCCAATTTCAATATGTATCCAGGAAGCTTGGAGACCAGCGTTGGGCTGGTAAGTCTGGGGAGTGGGGGGGAGACAGATTGAGGCCCCTGCAGTGTGGGAGGCAAGTGGGGCAGGGACGGGGGTTGCTTAGCCAGGGTGGGGTGTGGAACAGAGCTGTGAGCAGCTCCCACCCTGCACACACCCTGGGATTTGTGTGTCCTTGGATCTGTGTGCAGGGCGGGGTGGGCTGCAGGTGGGGGCTGGGGCCTGGCCAGTGCCAGGCTCTTCCCAGCTGGGCTGCACTCTGGGCGGACAGTACTGGGAGCGAGTTATGGGGGGGGCTGCAGCCACCCCAAAATTCACCATAGCTCCCTTCCCAGTGCCACCACCCATCCTGAGCAAGCCATAGCCCAACCCCCCCCCTCCACTGGGAAGAGATTGGCTTTGGCCCCCTCAGTGACAGCCTACCTCCCTTCCCCCTTGCACGCCCCAGGTGAACTGCTTGCAGCACCTGCCCCTGCCCCACTTTCTCCCTTACTGTGGGGGCCTTGATCTGTGCTATACACATGTACGGGGCATTTATTGGCCACATCAGGCAAAAAAAAAAAGCCAATTTCCAATACTGTCAATTTTCCCTATATCGATGCTGATCCAATATGGGACCAATGTATCGGTGCACCTCTACTGATTGAGGGGAAGAAAACCTTGTCTTGTATTTGAGTAAATACAGTAAATATTAGTTGCATATCAATAAGAGTTACATTTGCAGTTGTGGAGTGTAATGCACAATATCTCTTGGTTCTGAGCACAGAAGGCCTACCAGTAAGGGCCTTAATAAAACTTTCCCTATTGTATTGTCACGTAACTGAATGCACTTGTTCGAGGTGCACTGATGCATCAGTCCATATTGTATTAGCATTGATAAAAGGAAAATTGACATTATCGGCAATCGACTCTTTTTGACTGATATGGCCAATAAAGTTGCCGATAAATGCCATGTGCATATGTGCAGCTGCAGCATGCATGTGGCCAGAAGTGCAGCCTGGCAGCTTGGAGAGCAGCATCTGGGTGGTAAGTCTGTAGGGGGAAAGGAGCGGGGGGAGGGAAGGGGCATGGAGGGGCAGATCAAGGCCAGATCCCCCCCAGTGGGAAAAGCCTGGCACTGCCCCCAGCCCCGAGTGCATAGCAGTAGCCTGCCCTCACTTCACACACGGATCAGGGGGGCACATGCCCCCCATGCCTCTCCTAGGGTTGTGTGCAGCAGCAGGAGCCACCCCTCTGCCCCCCTGGATGAGCTGCTCACTGCTTCATCCTGTCCTACCCCATCCCAACTGTGGCACCTGGCTTTGCCCCAGCCCCACTCCCTCCCTCACTGTGGGGGCCTCAATCTGATGCCCCCCCGTCCCTGCCCTCCCACAGACTTACCAGCCTGACACTGCTCTCCAGGCTGCATCTTGGCATTCGGATCGGTATTGGTTGATATGGCCCGTTAATAATCGCCCATCAGTATTGGCCCAAAAAGTCTTTATTCCTGTACCCCTAGCATTTATTAAGGTCTTTGGACTTGCATTGAAATGCTACATTGGCTGCTGTTAGGCAGTATGACTACTGTATGTTTGAATGGAATGACTACTGATATATAGGGATCTACTCAAATTGCAATTTCATGGAAATCGCTAAATTGGGTGATGTCTGTGAAATCTACAAGGGAAAAGAAAACTTACTAAAAATGAAATGCTGGCTCTCCAGTTGGAGCCAGCAGTCTTCACAGCTGCTGTGGCCTGGCCACACAGCCCACCGGGGGGAGGAGGAGGGAGGCTGCTGATACAAAAGGGAGTAGGCAAGATGGTTGCTGCCCCTGCTCCACACTGCTGATTGGCTGAGAGGGCTGCCTGTTGTGCAGCCCCACTCCTCTCACCCAATCAGTAGCAGGGTACCACCGGGGCTGCTCAGCCAATCAGAGCCATGTGGGGGACCGGCCATGATAAGCCCATGGAAATGGCTGCTGGCCTCATGATCTGCCCAGGAAATCAAGTGCCTGCCTGCCTCCTTGAACGGGGTAGACCCCTACTGATAGGATTCTATAATGCGTCTCCTGAAATGAATGCAAATTAAATTTAACCTTTGTGTGTTCTGTTTCAGGGAAAACTGAAGCTGTAATCAAAAACTTCAGCCCGCACTACAAGCGCCAGTATTCTGTGGCTTTCTGTAAGCACATACAAAATGAACTGGAAGAACACCGAGACTCCCAGTCTCATTTCCTAAAAATCAAGGTAACAGGAAATCCAGTGGGTCTCTCATATGTCTATTCTGTGACGTTGCAGTATAATTTTGCTATTCTACCACAGAAACAACTCTTATTAGCACAGTACTCTAAAACGTATGGAAAATGTGATCTGGAATTCAAGAATATATCTATAATCACAAGGGGTTGATTTTTCAGAAGTGCTGAATACTGGCAATTTCAGGCGAAGTTAATTGGAGTTGCAGAGACTTGCCAGCTCTGAAAATCAAACCCAAATATCCTAAATGTGTCACATGCATGTCAAAACATAATGACTTATTTTCATTTCATGCCCATTTTCGTATCTTGGGTTTTGATATTTCTCTGCAAACTATATGGAAGACATCTTTTGTGCGTATTTTTATATTTCAGCCCATTCGTGTTCAAAACTCTGTGTGCTTTACAGGATAGATTTTTATAAGTTCCCAAGTGCATATAGTTTTCGTCATGAAAGTATTTTGTGTTCTTAAGTGGAAAAATGAAATGGGTGCAACATTAATTGTTGGGGAGAAACCTTTTGAAAACGTGGCTCTGTTTTAGATAATTTAGACCTTAAGTAATTTATATAACCTTTTTGAGCAAGAGTGTATTTTGGAACATAAAGTACTGGTGTAAAATACATATATTTTCAGAGTTGAATACAAGGGAGGAGGAATACTGGTGCTCTGACCAGCTGTAAGGTCTGATTTGGTATCTTGGAATAAAGAGAGTGGTAGAACTCGGGAAGAGTGATTCAGCCAAATCAATAAGCCATGTCTTCAGCAGTCTGTAGGGATAGGATAGGCAATGTCCATCAAACACTATTTGTAGAATAAGCATATGAAGCATGAGCATGCAGTTTTATCACAGGCAAATGAAGAGAAATGGATCTTAATAGAGAGATGGGGTGCAAACTTTGGGATTTCAGATTGGCATGAAATCATTAAGTCTGCACTTGATGGAAGTGTAGGACACTTGTTTGCATTCTTAATGTGAATTGGCTAAGCAAAGAGACCGCACTCAGACATACACAACTGAAAAGATAAATAGTTAATAGTGAAAGCAAAGCTTTAACGTGTCCCAAAATATCAAGTTTTTTCTCTAAAATTAATAGGCAGACAGGGTTCTTTGGGTAAATCTGATATCTTTTATTAGACCAACTCAGTTCAAATAGTTGGAATTTTTTTTTCTTTTTGGTTAAAAAAAAAAACAACAAAAAAACCCAGAATTTTTCCAATTATTTGATTTGGTCTAATAAAAGATAACAGATTTACCCAAATAACCCTGTCTTCGTTTGTCCTTAGACCAACACAGCTACAACCTACACTTCTCTAAAATAATATAATTTTAGCCTGCAATGGTGGTTTTGTGAATGGTGCACCAGTACTGAAATGAAAGTTTATAAATCTATGTATTAACATACCACTGTGAAAACTGAAAGGTTAATAAAAATGTCTCTGCTCCAATAAAACTAGAAATAAAATGAGAGAAGCAGAATCTACTGGAGTCGCAGGAAGTTGACCGTGCATTGTGTCTTCCTGATTCAAACAGATGATTCTTCAGATTTCAAGAGAAGCTTTGGAATAACACTTGCTAATATAATATGCCCTAGGAAAATTTTAGAAGTGAGGGCTTAAAACGAGGCAGTGTCTGTGCAAAATCATTTAAACCTGGTACCTTTCTTTTTAGCCCCCTGCAGAACCTGGGATGATCTTGTATGAGGCAGAGATCCTGCATTTTGCTGAAGATCTGAAGAGATGGAAGGATAGATACATCGTGGTGAAAAACGACTATGCAGTGGAGTGCTTTGAGAACAAAGAGGTAAAAATGCATTCCATCATGTACCTCTGGATTCTCAAACTGGTCAATAACATCTTGTAGAAGCAAATTTCTGGCTGACGGAGGTGCTCTTTATTATATTTAAGAGATCATATCCTGTCCACAGATAAGTAGGTACAACATCACTGAATAACATGTACTTTTATCAAACATTGTGGAGGTGTTAATAAATAATGTTA